TTTTATCAACATTTATCGATAGTTTAAGTCAAACCATATTTTTAACTTTTTTATTTCCGACCACCTCCAAAAGGTGCTTAAGATTTTCCCCAATACAAATACAAAAATAACTCATTTTAAGAGGTTAGTCACCCTACGTACACTGAAAAAAAATAATATGCTTTATCTAATCAATAAAATTGTGGCAACATATTACAAGCAATATTATCAATTAAATTGTACAAATTAGAATTAATTCGAATATTAATTTGATTAACTATTACTCAATTCTAATTTGTTCAATTTAATAAATAATATTGCTTGTAATCTGTTGCCACAATTTTATTGATTAGATAAAGCATATTCGTTTTTACAGTGTATGTCATTTATGTACAAAATGAATCATTTTGGACCCAGTATTGACCCCTGTGGTACTCCACAGGTGATGCCCACGAAATCAGATCTGCACTCCCCTATCTGAACAAATTGAAGTCTTATGTAACTTTTCATCCAGTCTAATACAACTCCATCCTTTTCCAATTTAGTAATGAACAATCTATGATCAATTGTGTCAAAGGCTTTTTTTTTTAAATCAATAAATACTCCCACTTTGTTTCTTATCTATAGCACTGGTAATGTTTTCAATTAACTCCATTGATGTAGACCTGTTGGGTCTGAATCCATACTGACTGTCAACTAATAATTCACAACTGTTTTGGCGCCTACACCTGTTGTACAGTATATCGTCATCACTGCCCCGCATTCTCACTGGCCTACGGGGAGTTCATGCGCCCAAGAGGAAAAATGTGCTGTTGCTGCCAGATCTCAATCACAATTGAAACTAATTTCACAGTATTTCATTTTCTTTTAACAAAAACTTAGTTTTAAAGAAAGACCTACTGTAACTATCTGTCATCCACAAATCTTCTCCCTTGGCCTTGTCGGAGAGTAAAGTGTCTATCGTATGTGCTTACAGAATCTAGCAGTTGGTCATACAGGTACAAACCCAATTCCATAAAAGTTGGGACACTGTACAAATTGTGAATAAAAACAGAATGCAATGATGTGGAAGTTTCAAATTTCAATATTATATTTAGAATACAACATAGATGACATATCAAATGTTTAAACTGAGAAAATGCATAATTTTAAGGGAAAAATAAGTTGATTTTAAATTTCATGGCATCAACACATCTCAAAAAAGTTGGGACAAGGCCATTTTTACCACTGTGTGGCATCCCCTCTTCTTTTAATAACAGTCTGCAAACGTCTGGGGACTGAGGAGACAAGTTGCTCAAGTTTAGGAATAGGAATGTTGTCCCATTCTTGTCTAATAAAGGCTTCTAGCTGCTCAACTGTCTTAGGTCTTCTTTGTTGCATCTTCCTCTTTATGATGCGCCAAATGTTTTCTATGGGTGAAAGATCCGGACTGCAGGCTGGCCATTTCAGTACCCGGATCCTTCTTCTACGCAGCCATGATGTTGTAATTGATGCAGTATGTGGTTTGGCATTGTCTTGTTGGAAAATACAAGGTCTTCCCTGAAAGAGACGATGTCTGGATGGGAGCATATGTTGTTCTAGAACTTGGGTATACCTTTCAGCATTGATGGTGCCTTTCCAGATGTGTAAGCTGCCCATGCCACACGCACTCATGCAACCCCATACCATCAGAGATGCAGGCTTCTGAACTGAGCGCTGATAACAACTTGGGTTGTCCTTGTCCTCTTTAATCCGGATGACATGGCGTCCCAGTTTTCCAAAAAGAACTTCAAATTTTGATTTGTCTGACCACAGAACAGTTTTCCACTTTGCTAGAGTCCACTTTAAATGAGCCTTGGCCCAGAGAAAACGCCTGCGCTTCTGGTTCCCGTTTAGATATGGCTTCTTTTTTGACCTATAGAGTTTTAGCCGGCAACGGTGAATGGCACGGTGGATTGTGTTCACTGATAATGTTTTCTGGAAGTATTCTTGAGCCCATGTTGTGATTTCCATTACAGTAGCATTCCTGTGTGTGATGCAGTGCCGTCTAAGGGCCCGAAGATCACGGGCATTCAGTATGGGTTTCCGGCCTTGACCCTTATGCACAGAGATTGTTCCAGATTCTCTGAATCTTTGGATGATATTATGCACTGTTGATGATGATAACTTCAAACTCTTTGCAATTTTTCTCTGAGAAACTCCTTTCTGATATTGCTCCACTATTTTTTGCCTCAGCATTGGGGGAATTGGTGATCCTCTGCCCATCTTGACTTCTGAGAGACACTGCCACTCTGAGAGGCTCTTTTTATACCCAATCATGTTGCCAATTGACCTAATAAGTTGCAAATTGGTCCTCCAGCAGTTCCTTATATGTACATTTAACTTTTCTGGCCTCTTATTGCTACCTGTCCCAACTTTTTTGGAATTTGTAGCTCTCATGAAATCCAAAAGGAGCCAATATTTGGCATGGCAATTCAAAATGTCTCACTTTCAACATTTGATATGTCATTTATATTCTATTGTGAATAAAATATAAGTTTATGAGATTTCTAAATTATTCCATTCTTTTTTTGCTCAAAATTTGTACAGTGTCCCAACTTTTTTGGAATCGGGTTGTACTTTTTGCCTACTGATTTATGAATACTACACATTTGGATCACATACAGTTTGTCACCTACTTTATAGTATGGAAATAGTCATTTTCGGACGCCGGGATAGGCTTTTACATGCATACAGTAAGCTGCATTGGTGTTGCATTGCATTCTCAGGGGACATCCTAACACAAATGATTTCAGAAGTGATTTTGACATAAGCATAACGCTTAAGCATTAGAGCATTAGAGCATGACGTTAGCCAATCCAAGGTCAAGAGTTCGATTCCCCGGGAATGCATGAAGTGATCAAATGAATATGCTGAATCAATGTCGCTTTGGATAAAAGCAATCTGCCAAATGCATAACTGTCTGTGTCATAGCGCTCAGATGATGTTGATTTCAAGAGTTTACGATTGTGTAGCTAAAAATGTGATACTCTAACAAGCATAAAAGTTACATTTAAATATTTTAATTATACTCATTAGATTGTTTCAGTAACACTTTACTTGACGGGGTGTGCATAAGTCTGACATGAAGGAGGTTTATGCATGTTTATGGCAACTGTTATTAAGTGTCATTCGCTCAATTATGACATTTGTAATGCAAATACAACATTGTTTGAGATGTCTTTGTTATGACACCTTGACATAAACCAATACATCATAACCTGTCAGTGTCTTGTCAATGTCATGACAACTTGACATTACTGAGACAACACAACCTGTCATAAACATGACATAGCAGATTCATTATCAAACTTAAGAAACCACTTAGCTTTATAGGTTATTATCATCATTGGTCTGATTCTGTAGCCAATGAAATTGGTTGGTTTTGACATTGGCTGTCATATATTAATGACACAGTTATAATGCCTCATGACAAAACCAACCACATGACAGTTTAATGTAATGTTAACCCATAAAGCTAAGTATTTTCTTGAGTTTGATCATTAATCTGCTATGTCATGTTTATGACAGGTTGTTTTGTCTTAGTAATGTCAATTTGTCATGACAAAGACACTGACAGGTTATGATGTGTTGGTTTATGTCAAGGTGTCATAACAAAAGACATTATATTTGCATTATAACTGAGCGAATGACACTTAATGACAGTTGTCATAAACATGCATAAAACCTCAATGATTATGAAGGTGTCATGTTAGTCTTATGCACACCCCTTCAAGTAAAGTGTTACCCTAAAGTGTTTCTAATCACCATTTCTTATGTTGTCTACATTTTGGCAATGAAAGTCAGGAGCACAATTACACAAACTTCAGATTTTAACCCAGTTTAGGACTTTCCCAGTACGACATTACATTTCACATGGAAAATGATCTCTCTTAAAGATGTAGAGATTTCTTAAATGTATTTATTTAGTTTAATTGTAAAACCATTTCAGGATTAAAGATGTAAAATAGCTCTGTAAAAGTGATACCGTGAAGCCATAATAACAGTAAAACAACAATTATGGGACACCACGGGATCATGTCAAACCATCAATTATTTCAAACAATTAATCATGATGAAAATGACAATCTTTAGTAATTAAAGTTAGAAACAATTAGTAGGCTAGAGTGGGGTAAGATGTGCTAGTGGGTGAGCTGTATATTGCATCCTTAATTTAGTATATTTATGTGCATGATTTGTGCCATGTGACCAGAAAGAGCACATCATAACAGGTAAAATAGAGTTTTATTTCCAAAAAACATATATAACAATATAACAATTAATTCAAATTTATTTATAAAGCACTGAATAAAACAACAGAGTTGACCATAGTGCTGTACAATTATACTTTATATGTAGTAAAGGTTCAAATATCAATGCACTAGGACTGCAGTATACTTGCAAGTGTACTATTTCAATACTAAATTGGCCCACTTTTTAGTGTATTAAGATTAAGACTTAGTAGGAACATAGTAGTATACGTAATTAACATGCTAAAATAGTATGTTCACTTAAAGAAACCATGCAAGTATGCTTTCAGTAAACTAGTAGATTAGAAGTTTTGCTTCAAAGTATATGTTTATAAACTAAAAAAGTATTTAACTAGTAAACTGTCCGTATACCCTCCTTGACATATAGTAAAAATGAAAAACATAGTTGTAACCAATTGTGTATTCAATTTTTTCTATTATCTATTTTACTATATTAATTTTACTATTATCACATTACTTCAATACACTAAAAAGTGGGCCAATTTAGTACAGTCCTAGTGCATTGATATTTGAACCTTTACTACATATAAAGTATAATTAAAATACACTTGAAATTTACTTAAGTACACATTAAAAAAATGAACTTGAAGCTTACTTATTTTTAGGAAGGGTAACCAGTGTCTTGTTTCTCTCTGAATAGAAGACAAACTTGAGTGAAATGTGGCACAACTTACCCCCACTTAGTTTTGTGCTAAAATGCAAGAGTCTGGATGTAAAACCTCGTAGTCTTACCTGTCACAGCGCGCTCCGGCGTAACCCGGCCGGCACTGATCGCAGATCACCTCACCCCCGCCGTCGACGTGGCACGTGGGACTGAAACTACGGTGTTTTTGAGCCAACAAGGGGACAAATAGAAAAACAAAAGAGCAGCGAATCAAAAACATCATAAGCACTCGCTCTGGTTCTAACCGAAGCCAGTCTAGCGGGTGAGCAAACCCTTAGCAGAGAGGTGAGCGTCAGGCTCTGCCATTAGCTCTAGCAGAATGACTGCACGGCTATTTCAGACGACACAGGAGCCTGGCTGACGGGCATGCTGGGAATGCTGAGGGCAGGAGGAGAGCCACGCTTTCTTTAGCCCACTAGATGTGGAATGTTCAGCTGTTGCATTCTGGGACACGCCAACTCTTTCTGGATTAGCCACTAGCATGCTACAGCCAATATTAGCCTAGTGCGGAAATCTCGAGCCAGCTACAGAGTAGCTCCTCATAGATGCCATCATGCTAAAAATAAGATGCTCTCAACTGGTTTTGGTAACACTTTAGTTTAGGGTCCAGTTATCTCTATTAACTAGTTAAGCATGCATGTTACTAGGATATATGCTGTTTATTAGTACTTATTAAAGCCTTATTCTGAATGATCATATTCTACAACCATTAATCCACCCAATAAGCTTAACAACTACCTTACTAACTTTAAGAGCCCGACCGATAAAGGATTTTGAAGGCCGATACCGATACAAATATTTTTGGGTTTTAAAATCCGATATATCGGCCGATTTTTTTTTTTTTTTTGTATTAAATATTGTTGGATTTCACACACGTGTAAAAGAAAAGCTAACTTTTCTGCACAAGATACGTTTGATACTTTTTCTCTATGTCTAAATGTTCACTCCTCGCAAGTATAACTTACGTTTTACAATGCAGGGACTGTAACTAGAGATATGCTAGTTATAAATACAGTAATCATTACTTTATTTAGGCATTGTGGTTTCCAAGTTCATTAATGTTAACGTTAGCGGTCTTCCACTGATGATAGTGGCATTAGCTAGCTTTGTGGTTAGCTAGTCTATGATTAGCAATAGATAACGTCATACTGCAAATTGTAAAACATACATTTTCAATATAACAGGCCGAGGAGAGATGATTAAAATGTGTTTCATCCGTTTTTATTTTATTTTTTAAATATTCATTTATCGGCCATTATGACTGCCGATACCGACATTTCGGAAAATGCCTATATCGGCTGGCCGATATATCGGTCTGGCTCTACTAACTATTAATTAGAAGGTTATTAAAGGGGTAGTGAACTGGCTTTTAAAATTTTATTATATTATTGTCTGAGGTCAACTTATGACGTTCGCTTGGTTTTTGCATTCAAAAACATCAAAATTAATAAGTAATAGGCTATTTTGAGTCCAGCTCGGTTTTTAATGGGCGTCTCGTTCATTGTTTGCTGTAAGCTAGTCGACCTCTGAACCCCTCCACCTCCCCAGCTCCACCTGTCTGGATCTGCTGTGTGTCTATTTAGCAGAAGTAAGTCCATCCTAGACACTAGATCTGCATCAGTGTAGAGGATCTGGTCAATAACATACTAAAAGTCTATTGAGAGTATATTTTTCGGCAGGCCAACAGAAGCACGGCTGTCTTCAAACCCATTTAGTGTACGTTTGTGCATTTAACTTCTATGGTATCAACCTAATTGAGATAGTTATATGCAGTGATTACGTGTTTATAGCTAACTACTGTTACGCGACAGCTTAACTACTTACTTAACTACGTTAGGTAAGTTAGGTTGAAGCAGTTTCCCCAACACTGGTCACTATAGTCAGAGAAGCGATTACCTATGATGGTGAGTGTTAAGATGGTGTAGAGTGATGTCATGCTGACATACTTGTTTGAAGGGCTCAGAAGAGGACATGCACACGGCCGACAGTCGTCCGCTGTTCCCCTGCTGGCGTCTCCGTAATAACCAGGAGCACAGCGCTCACAGTTCGGTCCTATGGTGTGATCCCTACAGCCCTACGATACACACAAACACAGTCATTTACACACAAGCTATGGTATGGAGGTATAGAGGTATGTTAGCATTTACACACAAAACATCAGCAGATTCTGTCAGAGCCACCTTAAACTTCACTTACTATTAAAGGATTAGTTCACTTTTGAAAAAAAACTTCTGCTGATAATTTACTCACCCCCATGTCATCCAAGATGTCCATGTCTTTCTTTCCTCAGTCGAAAAGAAATTAAGGTTTTTGATGAAAACATTCCAGGATTTTCCTCCTTATAATGGACTTCAGTGGGAACCGGATGGTTCAAGGTCCAAAAGACAGTTAATAACAGTTTCAGATGCAGCTTCAAATGTCTTTAAACGACACCAGACGATGAATAAGGGTCTTATCATGCGAAACGATCGGTTATTTCAAAACTTATTTCAAAAATGTAACTTTTCTAAGGACAAATGCTAGCCTTGCTCTATTCTGTGAGGCACGTTTGTAACGTCACGTAATACGTAATTACGTTCAAAAGGTCACGGGCGACGTAGCCGAAAGTACAGAGTCAAAATCGTTGTTTTCCCTTTTAATTCCTTTTTTTGTAAACGGCGTTTGAGTTAGTTTTCACGTTCAACCTATGCGTTCAACTTGTAAACACTGACTCTGTACTTTCGGCTACGTCGCCCGTGACCTTTTGAACGTAATTACGTATTACGTGACGTTGCAAACGTGCCTCACAGAATGGAGAAAGGCTAGCATTTGTCCTTAGAAAAGTTACATTTTTGGAATAAGCTTTGAAATAACCGATCGTTTCGCATGATAAGACCCTTATTCATCGTCTGGTGTCGTTTAAAGACATTTGAAGCTGCATCTGAAACTGTTATTAACACTATCTTTTGGCCCTTGAACCATCCGGTTCCCATTGAAGTCCATTATAAGGAGAAAATCCTGGAATGTTTTCATCAAAAACCTAAATTTCTTTTCGACTGAGGAAAGAAAGACATGGACATCTTGGATGACATGGGGGTGAGTAAATTATCAGCAAAAGTTTTTTTAAAAGTGAACTAATCCTTTAACACAGCAAACTTTAAAAAGTAAGATTCCTTGTCAGGGACACACACTTTTCATCAGTCTTTCAGAGGCACACAGTGTCAGGCTAATGGATCAGAGGGACGGCGGGCGTATTTCATCTTTGAGACATTTCATTTGTAGAGAGAGTTGACGAGCGTTAAAGGGTTAGTTCACCCAAAAATGAAAATTAAGTCATTAATTACTCACCCCCATGCTGTACCAACCCCGTAAGACCTTCGTTCGTCTTCGGAGCACAAATGAAGATATTTTTGATTAAATTTGAGAGCTGTATAACTACCACATTGGCTCCTAAGGGACTGCCTCTTGACGGCCCAGAAAGTCAATGAAGAAAATGTTTAAATATCCCAAGTGACTACCGTGGCTCAACTATATGTTTATCAAGCGACGCGAATACTTTTTGTGCGAAAAAACAAACAAAAATAACGAGTTTATTCGACTATTTCTTTTCTTCCTTGTAGGCCAGAACGAGAATTCCTTAGATTTCCACGACGCATGCGCGAGATTTGCGATCTGCTCACACCAGCTTCACTACTTCAGATCGCAATTCTCGCGCATGCGTCGTGGAAATCTAAGGAATTCTCGTTCTGGCCTACAAGGAAGAAAAGAAATAGTCGAATAAACTCGTTATTTTTGTTTGTTTTTTCGCACAAAAAGTATTCGCGTCGCTTGATAAACATATAGTTGAGCCACGGTAGTCACTTGGGATATTTAAACATTTTCTTCATTGACTTTCTGGGCCGTCAAGAGGCAGTCCCTTAGGAGCCAATGTGGTAGTTATACAGCTCTCAAATTTAATCAAAAATATCTTCATTTGTGTTCCGAAGACGAACGAAGGTCTTACGGGGTTGGTAAAGCATGGGGGTGAGTAATTAATGACTTAATTTTCATTTTTGGGTGAACTAACCCTTTAACTTCCTTGAGGGCGGTGCTCTGTTGAAGTTTGAAACTATTGGATCTGCCATAACCAATCACTGACGTTTGCTCGTGACGTATGGCGACTCAAACTAACGCACGACATCAGCGCCCTCGTTCTAAGCCACACCCTCTGTTCGCTGATTGGACCGGTAAAAAATTGACTGGAGAAAACGAAAGAGTACACCACAATCCCAGACGTAGTTGTTTCCTCATGAAAGACGTAGAGTAGCGCTTACACTACTACAAGACCTGCCGAAGAGAGAATGACACAGAAGAAGGGGCAGTGACTGTGTTCCCCATAGCCTGCTTTGTTAGAATAAACTCAAGTTAAACTACTTTTAAACATCACAAACTGTCTGAATGTGTCCAACAATTAAAATCATAAAAACATAATAATGTTGAGATAATGGGCCCTATTATAAACCCAGCGCAATGTGGCGTGTTGTGCTAGTTTCAGCCTGACGCAGTTTTCATTTTCACGTCCAGCGCAACGCTGTTTAACCCTCTGATGGTCTTCCTTTATGAGTCACGTCCTCCTGGGCCTTCCCGGTCAGAAGTGACCGGAGGCCTAAAAATGAAACTTCTTCCATCCCAGTAAAATCAATGCAATTTATTTTTGTTCTATAATGTTTATTCTTTTTAATTTAGTATTTTGAGACAATTTAATTGAATTTATTAATATTTATGCAATAGTTATGGTCTATTTTTTCAATGGAAATATATATATATTTTTTCTATATATATATATATATATATATATATTTAATATTAATTCAGTATTTTAGTTTAATATAGAGTCTAGGCCTTCAGAAAAAAATCTTTTTTGAAGAAAATTAGCACCATCTGAATACAGTATAGAGAAAAAGCGTAGAATCATGGTGTAACCACTAGATGACATGTACAGCTCTCTATGGAGAGGCATGTGAATTCCCCAGCTGTTTATGAACACATTTTTTTTTTGGTGGATTTGAATATATAATTAAAACAATCTCAAAAACTATTTCTTATTAAAAAAATAAAATAAAAAATGGTGAATTTTTGTGTTTTTGTCAATTTCCCATTCATTTCCTATGGGGGTCATTTGTGACCAAAGACCAAAATCATCAGTAATTTTTTTACGACCACTTAGCATGCTCGGATCATGAACTCAATTTTTTTGTGTGTTCACATACCCAATGCCAGAAATGTCACCAAGTTTCGTAACATTGCGATGAAGCTGTGATTTTTAAAAATTCAAAACAGATTTTTTGTAGTCTGAATTTATTGGTGCGTATGTGTATAAAAGTGTGTTTGTTTTCAGAGAATTCTGAGAATTTTTGTTTTTTTGTAAATTTTCCATTCATTTCCTATGGGGGTCATTTTTGACCAAAGACCAAAATCGTCAGTAATTTTTTTACGACCACTTAGCATGCTCGGATCATGAACTCAATTTTTGTGTGTGTTCACATACCTAATGCCAGAAATGTCACAAAGTTTCGTAACATTGCGATGAAGCCGTGATTTTTAAAAATTCAAAACAGATTTTTTGTAGTCTGAATTTATTGGTGCGTATGTGTATAAAAGTGTGTTTGTTTTCAGAGAATTCTGAGAATTTTTGTTTTTTTGTAAATTTTCCATTCATTTCCTATGGGTCGGTCATTTCTGACCGAAGACCACGAGTGTGACTATTTTTTTTTTATGACCACTTAGCAATTTTTTATTTTTTGTATTCACATACCAAATGCCAAAAAAGTCATCAAGTATCATAACCTTCCGATGAAGCTGTGATTTTTAATAATTCAAAACAGAAAATTATTCAGTCAGAAGTGACCGAGGACCATCAGAGGGTTAAATAGCAAATGCGTTTGCGCCCATTTGTGGTCTGCTGGTCTGAACACGAGGTGTATTTTGAGGAACTGAAATAGACTGAGCCATTGACCAACAAAACCTTATAGCGCAAGTCAATAGCGCAAGTTTTGTTTTATTATTTAATGAGCATGTAAGTAATGTGCGCCTACAGGTGGGTCCGCAACGCATGTCCACTCCCCTTATTACACACACATGAACGCGCAGCACACACACTAGCCAAATATGAAAAATAAAATATAAAAATGTGTACATAAAGACATGGTGGAATCTGGCTTGTCCCATAGATGGTCTGCTTGCCCGCTTTAACCTCTCACACACACACACACACAACCTTATGCACGAGCAGATCTGATTCGTCGCTAGAGAAGCGTTCAATCCAATCACAGTGAACCCGCCATAGTGCTCGTTAAACTAGCAAAAGTGGATTCGTACTAAGTGCACTTGCGCCATGAGCTTTAGACCATGAGCTTAGATCGGTAAAATCTGTTAAACTAAAGATCATTGTTGTAAAATGCTATTTTCATCAACTAATTCGATTGTGCAAATCGGTTACAGTATGATTTTGCCTATTACAAGAAAATGTAACATTAAACTTGTGACACACAGGTCAACATTTTAAATTGACATTTAATTTCTCATTAATCTGTGAAGTGTGGTAAATGTCAGGAGGTTAATCTAAATATTATATTTGAATTATATATATATATATATATATATATTTTAAATGAGACGCATGTAAATCAGGTGGATACTGGGCCTGTGTGTATTACCTCTGGCACGGATCAACACACACACACACACACACAGGAAATGGAATGGTTGTATGAAGTGCATTCACAGCAGATTGTGTTATTGTGTGTGTTATTATAATGCAGTTCTGTTATTATGGGCAAACAGCAAGAGCAGAAATGACAAAGCAAGTCCAATCTGTACACTCACAATGAAGAAATAACAAAATACCATCTTTCACCTCAACAATGAGCACACACACACACACATTACCAGGCAGTGTCCAGTGACGTCATCGCAGCGCTCCGCATGTCCGTGGCATTGACAGAGCTCACACACTCCGCGGTACAGCGTTCCGTCCACCCTGCGGTAGCCCACCGCACACATCTGAAAACACACACACACGCACGGGGTTACATTGCAGTAACTTCATTCATCATGAGGAAATGAAGGGTTTTTGGTAAAGTATAAGCAGGCAGGTTTGGCTGAACGTGTGTCATGAGTTTAACTGTGTGTGTGTGAGCATCAGAGAGTCGTTAATCTGTGCTAATTGATGGATCATTGTAGAGCACAAAGTGCTTTGATTTACTAAATGAGGGAGAAGATTTGTTTCAGTCAACTGAAGTGCAAGGGAAGTCTAAGAGCCGGCTGATGAATGCCTGTTCAGACAGAGAGAGTGTGTGTGTGTGTGTGTGTGTGTGTGTGTACATGAAGAGTTCAGATGCAAAAGCCTCAAAAGTGCCATTTGAAATTTTCTTCTAGAATGATCATTTTTATCAAGCTTGTATATTTAAGTGATTTCACTTGATAATTACCTATTAATTGTTATTTAAGTGAAATTACTGAACTTAAATATACAAGTTTGACAAAAATCATCATTAAAGAAGAACATTTCAAATGGCATTTAGAGGCTTTTGCATCTGAACTCTTCACATGTTCTTAAGATGTGCTTTTTCAAACCTTGTTTTGTTTCATTAATGTGTCTGAAGTCAAATCAGTGTTTTCTGTCTTTTACAGTCGGCATCAAAACAAAATTGTTCTACACTCTCAGAAAAAAAAAGGTACAAAAGCTGTCACTGGGGCTGTACCTTTTCAAAACGTAAACTTTTGTCCATTTTAGGTGCTAATATGTACATTTTAGCTGCCAATATTTACATTTTAGGTGCTAATATGTAGATTTCAGGTGCTAATATGTACATTTTAGGTACTAAAGTGTACATTGTATGTGTTAATATGTACATTTTAGGTGGTAATATGTATATTTTAGGAGCCAATATGTACATTTTAGGCACTAATATGTAAATTTTAGGTGCTAATATGTACCATTAAGGTACCAATATGCAGCCTTTAGGTACAAAAGTGTACCTTTTGAAAGGGTACAGCTCCAGTGACAGCTTTTGTACCTTTTTTTCTGAGAGTATTTATTTTCTAAATGCATGCTAATGGTCTTATTGGGAACTGTTCAATCGCACATTTTTTTGGACCTCATAATTTTTTGTAATTAAAATATCACAGCACTGTCTTTTTGCGAGGCTGTGTGACTTGACCCACAGCAAACACTAAAAACATCTCACCCGTCATAACTGCCGCGGAAATCGCAGAAGAAAAGATGTTTAATGCGCAGATAAGGATACTCCAGTCTACATAATGTGCTTAATAACGACGACTCTGAAGGTTACCCTGAAAGAAGCCCGCAAAAACAAATAGACGCCACTGGTGAATGCCTAGCCAACACCCCCTGGCTAGATGCGCTAGAGTTCAATCCCCCTACCGAAACACTGAATACCTTGCTGTTTACATCTCAGGAGGTTTTAAAGGGATAGTTCACTTTGAAATTAATTTTTGATATGTTTTAGCTTCCCTCAAGGGCGTCCAAGATGTAGGTGTCTTTGTTTCCACAGTATTTTCAATTTTGACATTTTTCAGTCAAACCGTTGTTGTCTATCAGTCATACACTGGAGGCTAAGGGGGTCCACCAAAGAGCAGCACAGAGAAGTCCAAATTAAACATGATTTAATGACTCGTAAATGTAAGTACACACTGATGGCCTAAGACACGAAACGAGCGGTTTTTGTGAGAAAACCAACAGTATTTATATCGTGTTTACCTCGTGTAATCACAGTGATCTGAATCAGTTGTTCAATGTCCAACTGAACCGAACTGAATCAGTTCAATGTTACGCCGGAAGTGATCGCTTGCGTGTGACGTCACTCAATATTTACACGGAAGTTATATTAATATTAATATTAATAATAAATAATATTTCGGAAGTTTTACCGTTTACTAAACATATTTAGATATACCGAAATCGTCTTCCATTGCGGTTTCCCGTATATCTAAATATGTTTAGTGAAAGGTAAAACGAAATCTCTGTATAAACAAAGAGTGACGTCGGCACGCAAGCGATCACTTCCAGACCGAAGTGCCCGTGCCGTCAGATCATTTTGTCATGGCTGTGATTACAAGAGGTAAAACCATATAAATACTGTTGGTTTTCTCACACAAACCGCTCGTTTCGCGTCTTAGGCCATCAGTGTGTACTTACATTTACGAGTCATTAAATCGTGTTTAATTTGGACTTCTCTGTGCTGCTCTTTGGTGGACCCCCTTAGCCTCCAGTGTATGACTGATAGACAACAACGGTTTGACTGAAAAATGTCAAAATTGAAAATACTGCGGAAACAAAGACACCTACATCTTGGACGCCCTTGAGGTAAGATAAAACATATCAAAAATTAATTTCAAAGTGAACTATCCCTTTAAGGGTGATTGACAGCCTACCGAACAACAAATCCACAAAACAATGGACGTATCGCAACGCAAATATTCAGTGTCTGTCTGACTAATGAGAAAACACCAAATTCGTGGAAAGGATTCACAGTATCCTGAAAAAAGACAATATACCTGACAACCCAGCAACATGGAGAGACATCTCTCTACTCCCCACCATTTACAAAGTTCTCATTCTGAATAGCTTCCTGCCATGGCTCTGCGAAATGAACACACTGTCGGAAAAACACAAAGCCTATTAATCGTCAAGGCACGAATGAGCACGTTTTCTGCTTGAAAACAGCAATTGATGATTTTAAGCATGAATCCACAAAGCTTTATGCAGTCTTTCTAGACGCATTCGGCTCATTGCCGCATGGCGTTATGATTAGAGCCTTTAAACCTACCCAATCCTTTTATCAACATGATTAAGGATATCTACAGATATCCAGGTGATCTGTGGAGATCAAATGACAAGCCCAATCCAACTAAGGACTGGCATCAAAACAGGCTGTCCAAACTTTATCCTAGCCCTTAACCAGTGGCTCAAGTGCCTGTGCCTCTGCTCCCCCTCGCACATCGGATCGCCAAACCCTGTCCAGGCCTATGCAGACGACGTCCAGGTGTCATCTAGAGATGAGAGTGATCCAATCAGGTGCTAGTTGGAAAAAAAAGCCACGCCCACTATTTCACCTCATTTGGTATTCCGTTTCTCTCGGAAATGCGTCACAACACTGGAGAAAAGTCGTTTGCAACTTCCGGTTCACGGGGACTTTAAGCCAATGCCATTCTGATCTACTTTTCACAATCCAATTAAACATCCAATCAGAGATGTATAGTAACATCTGAAGTAGAACTACTTAAGTACCTAAATGCTGTATCTGTACTCTACTAGAGTATTGTTTTTTTCTCATACTTCTACTTTTACTTCAGTAGATATTTTCGATGAATTTAATACTTTTACTTCGATATTTTTTTTAACTCGTTACAATTATACAATTTTTACGAATCATTCTTTGCAAGTTGGCTTTCATGCTGCCTAAATCACACGCCAGTTTTATAGGGTAATGGTATTTATTGACACACACATTGACAACTAATGCAGGGGTTGTCCTGCAATGGCCGCCAAAGCAAATTTGTATCCCGCCAAAGCGCCTTACTTGATTGCTAGTTCAAACTTTTGACTGCTTTCTTTAATAATTGCATGACACAGTACTTTTACTTTTAGTACTTATGTAGTGAATTTTTAAATAAACTACTTGCAATACTTAAGTACAAAAAATGTTGAATAGTTTAGTACTTCTACTTTAGTGTGGTGTTTAAAGAGCACTTCAACTTTCACTCAAGTCACTTTTTTGATTGAGCACTTGTACTTTTACTAAAGTCCGGGTTTCTAGTACTTTATACATCTCTGCATCCAATGGATCGAATCAAGTTTCACCCTGTATTTTTCTCTTGTTCAAGAAGCCGACTCACTCGGCACAATATGGTAGTGAAGTCGTGACACTTTCCTTTTCTTATCCTCGCCTAAATGGATCCTCATAATAAAGACTCTGGGCTTCTTAATCTTTTTTTTTTTTTAATCAAGGACAACCTTCATAATGCCAAAGTGTGTGTGGACTCCGGCTCTCGACATCACCACAGGCTATGCAGATGTATGAGCACTGATCATAACAATACCTGTTTTTACACACAAGAGAAGGACACCCAGGTCATATGAACAGAAATAGCATATTTGTATATTGAGGATGTTCTTGTTTCAGAAGCTAGCACAACTTCCGTTTCATGACGACTTTAATCTTTCCCAGTTTCCCAGCTTTTGTAATCGATATCAAGTAAAGGATCCGTTCACAGTGAGATGAACCGTTTGATATAGTATACAGCACACAAACATTGGGTTAAATTGTACATTTTTAATTAGACGGATCTATTATTTATTTATCTACGTCTATACTAATTCGCCTTAGTTGAACATTTCCATTGAATTCCAAACAGAAACATGATCATAAATAAGTGATTTTGACGCGCCTCTGACTTCAGCTTTTACATTTACATTTATGCATTTGGCAGATGCTTTTATCCAAAACCTTAACCTTGGCGTTGCAAGCGACAGCACTCCACTGTTTGAGATCTAGGCAAGTTTAATGTGCTTGTTTCTGCAGCGAAACCTGTAATCTCGGTTTAAAGTCTTTAATCATTACTTAATCATAACCTTTTAAATCTAGTTTTTGGGCTAGGTAATAAATATCGATTTCTCGATATTAATCGATTCTCATTTTTACGAACCGATATCGATTCTTAAATCTCAAGAATCGATTAGTCATCCTGTTTCATTTGAATGAATGGATCATTGTATCGCGGCTGCGCGCATCCAAAACATCGCAATAATCTTTGTCCTTTGTTACTATTGATATGAAACAAAGTCTCAATTTTCAAATTACGTCCATTTTCTTTAGAAATTCAGAAACATAAATAAGGTTTTGGCGCTGTGGCGTGAGATCGCTCTGGAGAAGCAGCAGCGCTGATCTCTCTTCCGGCTTAATAATACCAGTCACAGCGCCAAATAAACATGAATGAGCATCTGAAAGTGTGTTAAAGATAGAGTACAACTTATCCAA